GCCCCGAGACCCAGACAAAATCTACTTCTTCGCTGTGGGATTCCAGCTCCAGATCATGGCTGTGGGATAAAGCAACCCTTTCCGCCACGTTCCTTAAATCTCTCAAATCTCCCCTCTTTTGCCAAGTCTCCAACTAATCTTCCTAATACAAGCTAGAATAGATTAGAAAAGTCCAGTCTGCAACCGTCACCCACATGACCAGGGGGCTAGAAATGACTGGCAGTGTAGCTTCACAGACCCAGAAGGCATCAGTGGTGGCTGTGCTTGCAACAAAGAGAAACGTGAAGCAAGCCTTGGCACCTTCTACTGAATGAGTGCTTTGTCCCATCTTCTGTAAGCACAGATATGGGTAGAGATCACTTCTGGGAAACTTAAAGAAAAGGTAGGGAGACTGAGAGTGCGTGAAGGGATGATGATGAAGAGGAGGAGGAGGAGAACAGACAAGATGATGGGACTGCTGCAATATTTCTCTTCCTTCCAGTTTCCTCCCCTACCCCCACACCTGCTTGGTTCCTGCTTGGTGACAATTTCTCCTTACTCCTTTCACACACGCACACACAAGCCTTTGTAGAACTGACCAGGAGGTCAAGTTCTGGCTGTATGATGAGAACGAAAGCAGGGGTGGGGGGCCGTGCTGAGGCTGGGTCTAAGACCGCAAGCTTGTACTTCTCCAGGTAGGGGAAAAAATCGACTGGACGTGCCATGCTTTGCAAAACCTCCAGCAAACAGCCTCTTGGCCGTACAGCTGTGAGGGTCCCAAAACATATATTCTCCAAAGTCTGACATCAAAGGATACCCTGTGCATACAAATCACATCCCCCTCTCTCTCTTAACTCAGTTATAATTTCCCATGCCCAAGATCTGGCCTCAAAGCATTCACTAACAAGAAAGCTTATACAAACATACTAATCAAATTACATATATGGGCAGAGATAAATGAGCGCTCGGGTTTCAATAAGTAATGTATATACGCACATTCGTACCCCCCACATCAATACATCAACTGTTAAGCCCGACAGGAGAGCACGCCACCTTTAAGGGAGGGCAGTTATTGTATTTAATCCAAACTAATCCTCATTCACCATCTGCATTAAAGATGAAAGATGCCAGAGACCATATTTTTAACTTTCAGCAAACAAGTGTACCTTATTTCCTCTACAAAGGACTGGATAGAGGACTCGGTCATCACCTAGAATAGGGAGAAGAATCTTTTTGGTAATCAGTCACTGCTCTGAACTCATTCTGGGTGGGGCAAGGATGTGGACCTAGAATTATTTCTTTATAGCGCTGCCTTTTCTAACTGCATCAAAATTATTTTAAAGCTTATGCTAGCCCCGTTTTGTACGTCTCTTCTACCTTCTCTACTCCTTGCCAGGTGGCTGGTATCTCCAAAAAGAGAAACAGGGATGAAGGGCCACCTACTCTGAGCTTCCAGTTTTTCTACCTCTGACCTAAAAGGAGTAGATTGAAAGACATAAACCAAGATTTAAGGGGACAGTCTGCATTTCCGTTAACAAATGATGGAAGTCAGCAGAAAGAGGGTGAAATTCATACTGAAGTGATGGGCCAGAGAGAAGAGCACTGACAGAACTCTATGAGAATGCAGGGAACACCTGCGGGGTGCATATAGAGGCAGAAAATGCTGTAATTAGGAATGCTAACTGGGTCTGAAGGAATGAGGTTAAGAGATATAGAATCATTTGTTCCTACTGGAAGAATCCACACGATGCTGGTGATTTTCTCCTCCAAAATGACCGTGCAAGACCGATCCCCAGGGTGGGGTGCCCAAAGACGATATCCTTTACTCCCTGGATGATGCCCCACCCTGGAACATTTGAGCAGAGACTGTCTATGCAAACTCACGCATGCGCAGAGGAGCTGGCACCTCTGATGAAGAACATATGCCTCCGTAGCCTTGGACTGCAGATGTGTTTATGAACGCGGGTTAACTTTCTGGAAGGTGCTCGCCTGGCGAAGCTATGTCTGCTGTAGTGTGTGTGCATGTGTGCCCATGTAACATTTGCCTCTGTGTGGAGGGAAGGAAGAAAAAGGAGAAGCCATTTGGGAACAGCAAGGCTTCTGGGCAGGAGAAGAGTAAGGCTTCGTTACATAAAGGGACATGAGCAAACGACAGCGTCTCCAGCCGCTACCAGCATGGTGCAGGGCTCCCCTCCCCGTTTATAGCCCCTAGACCTTGCTCTCCTCCCAGACAAACTGATTTATGCCGAGGCGAAACTCTGCCAATGAATGGAGGCTACGCCGAGAGAGACCCCTGACCTCGCCCGTGACCTCTGACCCTGTCTGGCTTCACAGACAGGCTGCAGCTGGGTCTCTCCCCCTTGACCCTTTAATTCCAGACCTGCCCTGCCCCACCAAGGAGCCCGCCAGACATTAACCCTCTAAGTGCTGCATCCATCTCTCTCTCTCTCTCTCTCTCTCCTTCTTAGTTGCTCTTGGGAAAAGAAAAGAAAAAAAGCCGATGCAATTAAGGCTTGCGAATCTTTTACCTGAGCTTAAACTATGCACCATGGAAGGATGGCTGCAATTTGGGAAGTGGAGATTTTGTGTTCAGCAGCTCATACTTCACACACACATACACACACACACACACATATTTGAACCTTGGGCTACTCCATTTCAGCAGTCCTGTGCTTTAACCTAAAGTCACAGCTCTCCAGCCCCACCAGCCCCACGCTGCGCCTGCACCCCGAAACCCCAAGCAATCTCTGCTCTTTCTCCTCCACCCCCCCCCCCCGCTGCTGCTGCTCCTCCTCCTCTCCTGTCGCACTCAACCTCCACTCCTCCTAAATCTCAGCCCCTACTCAGCTCCACGCATTCAGGAAGATCGATATCCCCAGCGTCCCTGGCCCCCCCTCCTCCCGCCCCTTCTCCTGTTCTAAGAAGGGTAGGTTAGGGGCAACAAGTAGCAGCAAAATGTACAGTCATTGGAGATGGGGGGGGGGAAAGAATGGAGCTCCTCTGGCCCCCCCTCCCCCATTCCTGCCTGCAACTGCAGAGAGGTGCATCTTGGGATGAATAAATTACACGGGCAATGGAATGGCAAGCGCAATTCAGGGACAGAGAGAAGACAAGCAAAAATGGGGGGGGGACGCAGAAGACAGAAAGAATCACCCGTCTGCATTAATCCCTCTCCACCCCTTTAAAAAAAAAAAAAGGCTAGCATCCCAATGGTCTGTCACTCAGGAAGTCAAAGGCATAATCAGATAATAACCTGTAATTGCTGGAATTCCTCTACAAGCATCATACTAAAAATCTTTTAAGGCCCCAATTCCAAGACCCTCTTCCTCTCCGACACCCCCCTCCACCTAACTCTCCTGGAAAGGAAGGGGGCACCTATTTTCTTTTTTTCTCCATTCCCATCTCTTCCTCACCCCCCCCCCACCCCCACACACACTGCAGTCCAGGAAGGATCCAAGTACCTATTTGGGATTCTGATTTACTTGCTCTCTCGGTGGGGAATGGCAGGGGGGGGGGGCGCAGATTCTTTTCGAATCTCTCAAATTCTGGTCATGCAGGACACCAGCTTATGGCTGAAACAGGCAAGCAAAAAGACCAGAGGATTGAGGGGGGGGGGAAGGGTTCAGACGTGCTGTGACCCTTAGCTCGCAATCCTTAGCTTGCAATCGTGGGCACAGCTTTGGGGGAACTTCCTTAAAGGAAAATCTAAGCAGAGCCTCCCCCCACCCCACCCCTAGTTTGCTCCAAACTGTTTCTGCTCCGCTCAAGTTATTTAACTCAAGGGAGTTAAATAAATGGTTCTTGTAAAAATAATGCAACCTCGGTGCCCTCTTAGCTTTTATACAGCCTCAACCTCCTTCCTTCCCATTCTCTGCCACCCCACCCTGCTCACCTACCTGATCCGCTGGGAGGAGGGACTGCAGTGGTCCATCCTTCCCCCCCCCTCCCGTGCAGAGCTCCCACAAAGTGTGCATTGTGGCGGGAAGATGGGGGGGGGAGAGAGAGAGAGATGCAAAAGAACAAAGAATGTGTGTCTTTAAGGTGCAGGGGCCAGGAGTGGGGGAACAGGGGGCTGTGTCTGCAATTCTGCAAAACGTAGGAAAGACCCTCCCGGGCTTCCAATTCTCTCTTCAAACTTGACCTCCAATCTGCTTCTCTTTCGTTCTCTCTCTCTCTCTCTCCCCCCCCCCCATCATTCCAGGGCTTTTTTTTGCACAGGAAAATACACAGTGCAAGAGGGCTGAGTGGAAAGGGGCCCCCGCAGGGGAAACAGGGAGGGAAAAGGGGGGGGGCTGTCCAGCCAGGAGCTGTTGCTGCACCTGCAGGGAGGGGAAAGTTGCCTCTCTCTCTTTCCCTCTCTCTGTTCTCTTTGCATCTATTTATACAACAAGCCCCCCCCCTCCCCAAATGCAGAGAGGAGAGATTCCTTTCCCTTCAGGTCCAAGGACTGAAGGGCAGAGTGGACGGGGGGGGGCCCGCACATGGGTGCAAGGAAGAAAGGGGGGAGGAAAGACCAGGAGAAAGCAGCAACGTCTGGAAGGAAAGGGCAAGGGGGAACAATTGGGGTTGGAGGGCGAGGAGAAGCAGCCAAAAACAAGGCGACCTCCTATTCTCTCTCTCTCCCCCCCCACGAAGAAATGGGAAAGGTGAAAAAGGGACGGTGAGAAGAGGGGCGAGTGGGAAAGGGGGTGGTGGGGGGGTAATGGTGGTGGGAAGGAAAGCCGAATGACAGAAGCCGGTGAAGGCGAATTTGGGGCGGCGGTGGGGGGGGGGGTCCGAGCCGCGGAGCTTCTCGTGGGAAGGGACCTGGCGGAACGGCCCTGCTTAAGCCCGCGGGCAGGAGCAGGCTAGCCAGCCCGGGAAGGCGAGCGAGGCAGGCTGGGGGGGGGGGAGCGCTGCTGCGGAGGGCGACGGCGGACGCGTCTCCCCCACCCCCGGACCCCGCTCAGCGCCGGGGAAGAAGGGGCGGCGCGGGGGCTGCTGCCCCCGCATCTGGATGGCAACCCTCGCCGCACACTCACCTGCATGCAGGCTGTCCGAGCCGGCGCCGCCGCCGCCTCCTCCTCTTCCTCCTCCGCCGCCGCCTCCTCTTCTGCGTCTCCACCGGCAACCAGAGCAAGTCTCCGGGGCCCGCCAGCGCTGCATGCTGGGACGGCCTCTTTGGGGGTGCTGGTGATGTCATTGGTTGGAGAAGGGGGGGCGGGATATTAGATCCCCTCCCGGAAAAGCGGGGCGGGGGGCGCGCCGGGGAGCGAGCGGAGCGGAGCGAAGAAAGGAAAGCCGAGCCGAGCCAAGCCAGGCGGGAATAGGAGTAGCAGCAGCAGCAGTCGCCGCCGCCGCCTCCCTCCCTCCCTCTTTCCCTGCCTCGCCTCCGGCTGGCGGGGTTTCGCCACTGCGGGATCGCGAGAAGCCGGTCGGCGAGTGCGGGATCCGTTGCTTCTCTCCCCCTCTCCTCGGTCCGCAATGCACAGCTCAAAGCTAGCGGGGAGGGTTGTGTGTGTGTGTGTTTGTGTGTGGTGGTGGGGGGGCTGCGCTGAAGTGAAAGCCCCTCCGCAGCCAGCCGGGAAGGAGGAAGGTTGAGCCTGCCCGGGGTGGGTGGGAAGAGAGGAAGAGCCGGCTGGATCCAGTCCGGGCCCTTCTGCTCCCTCCATTGCGGGGTCGAAGACGAACCAAGCGATGAGCATTTGGAAGGTGGGGGGGGGGCAGTGGGAGTTAATTTATAAGTGCGATCGATGCTATTTTTTTTTTTTTTCCCGTATTGGAACCCTCTGGGAGCGCAGGCTGCCAAGGCTGCCTCTGGGCATGTGCGGAGCGCCCTTCCCTCCAAGGCTACTGCTAACGTGCCCCACCTCTGTTTCGTCCTCCAACATCTGGCCCGTAGCCAACACATAGGTTAGATTGGGGGAGCGGGGGTCTGGATCCACCATCACCCCCTCCTTCCTGATGCTTCCATGCAGGTGGGCAATGACTGCAACCGGGAAGAAAAGGCACAAGGACTAAGGCAGACGTCCTGTCCCTCCGGATGGGCACCGTCTGTCTTTCAAAAAGGAAATCCTAAAATGCTCGGTCTTTGATTCAGTTGCTCTCCATCCCCACTTTTTTCCCCCCTCGGAACAATCCGCAGGGAAGATCTGGAGTCTACTCCACTCGACCCGTCCGAAACGAATCGCTTCCACCCGATTTCTCCAGCCTCAGATGCGCCTTTGGATTTGCAAGTTCTGACATAGGATCTAATTGGCTACCGGTCTGATTAGACTCTGACCTCTTTAAGTTAGAACGTGCTTAAAACGTTTTTGGTTTTTTTTATCTTCCATGTGACAGATTGTAGTTTAGGCAACAAGATCCCAGATTATAATAAGGAGAAACAACAAAACGCTATTAAAAATAAATAAACACAATGTATTGCAAAAAAAAACACAAAACACACACACACCTTCTGACTTGACGCAGCAAGGAGGCATACAAAATGATTTGAAATCCAGGAAAATTCAACTGAACCAATCTGTCAGTCTTGGCAGCTTGAAGATGTGTGGACTTCAACTCCCAGAATTCCCCCTGCCAGCTTTGGGAATTCTGGGAGTTGAAGTCCAGCCGGCTTCAAACATCCAAGGTTGAGAAACGCTGGTCTAAGCAAATAGCTTAAAGATACACACCTCTCTACATACAAACTAGGCCAGGGGTAGGCAACCTTGTCTCTTTTATGATTCGTGGACTTCAACTCCCAGAATGCCTGAGCCAGCACTGGCTCAGGCATTCTGGGAGTTGAAGTCCACGAATCATAAAAGAGACAAGGTTGCCTACCCCTGAACTAGGCGCTACATAAAATGAACCACCACAGCAAACCTGAAGGAAATATCTAAATAAAATGCAAATTTTAAGAAAAAGGACTTTGAGAAACAGAACCATCTCTAATCAATTCAAGGGGGGGATCCAAAAAAATTAATCATCAAAATGGCTTCAACCACACATTGAAGTTCTGCCCTTTTCCACACGTCAAGGTAGTTGAGAAGTATTTACAGATATTCAGAGCATGTGTACCTTTAGAGAGGGAGGGGCTTCATTTACAGATGGTGGCCACCATTTTGATTTTTTTGACACCTCCCACTGTGAACACCTGGGATCAGCCTCTAAAAAAATGGGAGCGAAAGAGCCTTGTAGCTCAATTACACATTTCTGTCCTGTAGTAATTCAATCTACATTTCTAAATCCCATTATCCTTTGTCTCTAGAGAATAGGAGCAAATTCACATTAGAAGCAGATGCCTGAAACTACAGCGAGTTATATCTGTTTCTTACCAAACTTAAAAGTGGGCAGGAAGCAAACTTCTCGAATGTGTGTTTCTTTTATGCAATTTGCATGGTCACTCACCTCAATTGCAGGATTGTGGGTGGCTGATTAAAAACAAAATTGAAACAATAAGCTATTTTACTTTTTGTGTTTGGGATGGGATTTTTCTCCTTTTGATTTTATTTTTGAAGATATTTTGCTGCTCAGAGTCCCTTGTTGAGCTGGGTGGCCATATAAATTAAATAAATATATAAAACGGTAAGTAACATAAAATAGCAATTTAACAAGGAATACTGAACTTGTTATAAGGCCCCTGGATGTGAATCGTTTAATTCAAATGGTTTCATTTCTCAAAAAGTTGCCGGGAGGTGGTGGTGGTGGGGGGGGAAGAGGATGGATTAGATGACATCATTTTTATTTTTCTCTGGGAAACTATTACCCTTCCACAAAGCTCCTGATAAGGTTTCAAAAACAAAGAATGTAATCTGTCTCGCTATGGGGTATTAAAGAACAAAGAAAGAACAGTTCTTAAAAGCCGAAAAAACTCTCAACGGTGTGTTGTTATTATTACTGCATTATTATATTTTTGTCCCACCTTTTTTATATAAAATGTTTTGGCCAGCTCAAGGCAACAAGCACACCTACTAGTCCTGCCTCCTATTTTGTGAGATGGACTGGGCTGAGAAAGATGGACAGGCCCAAAGTCACCCAGCCGGTTTTCATGCTTAAAGCGGGACTAGAACTCACAATCTCGTGATTGACCCAGGGTCACACAACTGGCTTTCATGCCTAAGGCGGGACTAGAATTCACTATCTCGTGATTGACCCAGGGTCACCCAATTGGCTTTCATACTTAAAGCGGGACTAGAATTCACAATCTTGTGATTGCCCACAGTCACCCAACAGGCTTTCATGCCTAAGGCCGGACTAGAACTCACAATCTCGTGATTGACCCAGGGTCACACAACTGGCTTTCATGCCTAAGGCGGGACTAGAATTCACCATCTCGTGATTGACCCAGGGTCACCCAACTGGCTTTCATGCCTAAAGTGGGACTAGAAATCACCATCTCCTGGCGATTGGCCCAAAGTCACCCAGCCAGCTTTAATGCCTAAGACAGGACTAGAATTCACCATCTTCCGGTTTCTACCCTAGACTAAACTAAACTAAACTAGACTAAACTAGCTCTTAGAGTTAGAGTTATGGGTGTAGGTCAGTGATGGCAAACCTTTTAGAGACCGAGTGCCCAAACTGCAATCCAAAACCCACTTATGCATCGTCGGGTGCTGGGTGGGTGTGGCCCATTGGGTGGGTGTGGCCCATTGGGTGGGCGTGGCTGCAATGGTAACGGCAGACTGGGTAGGACTAAAAAGTTCAATCAACCAATTCCAACTTTGCAAGATCTTTTTTTTCCTGCGAGTAGTTGAAATTGACTGATTGATTGAACCTTTTTTTTTTTGTACACGGCAGCGGAGACCTAAAGCGAAAAGGTTTCATAAAACCCACCTGAAGGCCTAGGACTGGGGCGATGGCGCGCGTGCCCACAGAGAGGGTTCTGATTGCCGCCTCTGGCACCCGTGCCATAGGTTCGCCACCACTGGTGTAGGTCTATACATATGTTGTATATAGTATGTTTTAAATGTGTGTTATGTATGTGTACACTTTGAGAGGAAGCAACTAAATTTCATTTTTTTTAATGTGTGCCATTGTGCCCACAGGAAAAAATGACAATAAAGATTACCTTTTGACTCAAAATTTTTTTTTGGCGGGGGGGAGCTAATTTCATAAATGGGGTGCTAATACATAACAAACTATTTCTTAGTCATATCCAATTCATATCAGATGGCATTGGGGGGGGGAGTTCCCCTGAAGCTGAATAAATAGGCTGAGGACTAGAGGCCTTCAAAACCTGGATCCTAAGCTTCAGAAAGATTTAAAGGCAGTGGTGGGATTCAAATTTATGAACAACTGGTTCTCTGTGGGGATGCTGCTTCTGGAAGTCCATTCTGGGCCTGGGCAACAAAAATTTAGCTACCGGTTCTGCCGAAGTGGTGCGAACTGGCTGAATCTCACCGCTGTTTAAAGTAAGTACTGAACCCCCCTGTAATGTGAGGGTAGTGGCGAAGGGGGTGAACTAGCCTGGGAAACCCAGATTTATGACCGACCTCCTCACGAGCCTTTTAGTTAGTAACGCAATTGTTAAGTGAATCTGGTTTTCCCAATGACTTTACTTGTCACAAGGTCTGCAAGGACCCCGGGACACTGCAACCGTCATAAATATGAGTCAGTTGCCAAGCGTCTGAATTTTGATCATGTGACCGTGGGGAAAGCTGTAACGGCCGTAAGTGTGAAAAACTTTTGACATTTTTTTAGTAAGTTGGTCACTTTGGTAAGTTGAGGACGACCTGTACTTTCGCCCCCTGTGTGTGTTGTTATTTTGCTTAGCCTGAGTTGTTTACATTTACATTCGTTGGACATTTCAACGTGTGTTGCGATGGTTTGAGCCATTCTTTTGAGACGCAGATTAATCATACAAAGACTAATGACTAATCATAATGTTTCTTTGAGGTGTGATAATCATGCAATATACGTTCCTTTGCACCTGGGATTCAGTACACATCGCTTCCCATAATGCTTATGATGCAGCTAGTTTTTTTTCATCTTCTGTTTTATATAGGTGTGTGCGTGCCGATGTTTGTGTGCGTGCATTGTTTTTTTTTTTTTTAATTTACAGAGATGAGTATACGTATGTGATGTAGTGCTTAAAGTGTAGAACCAGGCCTGATTATTTCAAATCCCTATTGAGCAATGGACGGAATCATTTTGCTTTCCTTATTAATAAGGTGACCAACCGTCCTCCTTTAGGGAGGACAGTCCTCCTTTTGTGAGTTCTGTCCTCCCTCAAAAAGTGTCCTCCTTCATGTCCTCCTTTTCAATATTTGAAGACTAATCTGCAGGGCTTTTTTTTTCCCTCATAGAGCGCTCAGAACGGCACCTTTTTTTGATGTTTTTTTTTTCCAACTTTTGCATGAGCTGTGCTACTCCCACTATTGGCTTTCGAAAGCCAATAGGAATTGCTGCTGAGCGCGCCAAAACACCCGGCCGGCAAACTTTGCACATGCAAGTTGTCTGTATTATTGTTGCAATGAATAAAATGTTTCTTTTATTTACGATATTTTTTTCTTCAATTTATTTGTGTCCTCCTTTTCATTGTAAAAAAGTTGGTCACCTTATTATTAAAAAACGCTGCACATCAGTTGTTTATC